TTCTAAGATTTATACTTTGTCTTAGGAGCAAAATGATATTATTCTCCACTGCACAGAGAATCTGGAGCACCCAGGTTGGATGGTTACTAGTTCTTATGTATACCTTATATATTGTGAATTTCTAATTATTGAGGGGAACAGTGTCTCTGTCTGGGAAAATAAGGTTTTATTCCAAACATTTCTTCCAAGATGAAAAGCTAATGTAATGTTGAGATATCTCTTTGTTGGATAATCCAATGAGTTTGGGACTCCCATCACTATATACATTATTATAAATGCAAATTAATTATTTCATTTGAGTTATTGGTCTTAGAGAGACAGCAAGGAGAAATTATAAAATTTGCTTCCAAAATAACAGATCTTATCATTGATTTTTACTCTCCATCAGAGCAGCTTAATTTCTAAAATGGTCAAAATGGTATCTGCTTATGCCAGCTAAAATTCTGAAGACTATTTAATTTAACCTGAAATTATATAGCTTCATAATTAAGTAATATCCTTGAAGATTGTGTCTTCTAAGAAGAAAGGGCATTGCAAGCACTTTGAAATAAACCAACGGGAAAGGGAAATGGAATTGCAAATGGCTATAGAAAAATAAAAACATATAATCAAATACATTTTATCTAAATTAAATTTATTATTCAATTCTAGGTTGATTCATTTCAACTAAGTCAATTCACTAAAGAGTATCTTACTAGCCTACTGAGAATTAGCTATTGTCAGGTGACCACAATTCCATGACATAAAGGGTTGTTAGTTATTGTCTTCATTTTTTAGCTGAGAAACTGGGATCACAAAGAAATGAAGTATCACCATTCTGGATCTCTCCTCCTATGAACTGCAGACTCTTCTAGCCAAATCCACATGGGACAATTCCACTTAGACATTTAGAAAACTTTTCAAATTGCCCATATCAGAACTGAAATCTAGTGCCTCCTTTATAAAATGTGTGTCTTGCATGGTATGCCTCTTCTCTACCTGTGGCAATTTTATCCTACAAGTTCACCAAAGCTATGAAGTGACCTTTATAGCCTTGCTTTACTAATTTTATTAACAAGACCTGTGATCACCATTTCCAGAATTCCACATTTCTCATCCCTTTCACTTATTTCTGACTTGGTATGAACCACCATTGTCTATCCCCTATATTGCTTCTACAGCCTCCTATGTATGTTTTACACCTTTTCCCCACTAAATGTAATACAACAGTGGAGACGATCTTTTTAAAAAGAAAAATAGAGAAGATCATGTCACTCCTCTGCTCCCCACCACTCCCTGCCCCTCTCTCCAGTAGCTTCCCACTCAACATACTGTAAGGCTGATTGCATCACTACAGCTTCAAGGTCCTACATCACATGTGCTCTTTTGCTTGTTTGACTTCATGTTCTGTTTTGTTTCTATGCTTGCTCTAGTCGTTTTCCTCCCCTAACATTTTTGGTAAATAAGCCCCAGATTTTATTGCTGTTTTCTTATGTGTTCGAAGGACCTTTCCTTGGATAGCTTTGCTTTCATTCTTCTAGTCTTTTCTCCAATGTCACCTTGTATGTGAGGCCTTCCCTAAAAAACATTCTTAAAAATATCTCTTTCCTACCTCCGTACTTCTCAACTTCTTTCCCTTTTGTCTTTTTCCTCATGGCAATGATCACCCTCTTATCAACTGCTTTTTTATATTCATGTATTACTGTTGGTCTTTATCTATCTTCCTACACTCAAATATAAGCTCCATGAAACCATAGGATTTTTGTCTATCTGGCGCCTCTTGCCTTCCATGTGGAATATATTTAATATATATTTTAAGGGGTAAAGCTAGTATTTGACAGAGCTTGGAAAGGGCCCCTTTTCTGAACAGGGCATTAAAAACTAGGGTAAGTTTGTTGGGTAGAGAACTGCCAATTTTTACTCAGTGTGTTGACTTCAAAGATATTTTTTGATTCATTATGCAAGTGGATAGAAGATGTGGATTCATCAATGACTCCTTAGGTGTGCCTGGGTTTTGGTATAGCTTTTGGAACAGACACGGAAATATCCATTCTAATTCTTCTTCTGGGACACATGGAGGATACTTTCTAGTACTAGACACCATGGGAGAGAGATTTTGATAATGACATATGAGACATGACATAGCTTCTTGCCATTAGAAACTCCCAATGATCACCCATCATCTGTCTTTGCCTCACTCAGAAACCATAAAGATTTCTGAAAATAATGCCATCTCAATCCTGGAGAGGCCTACACCCTTACATTACTGCTTAGAGGAGAGCCACCTGACCTTGATAGATGAGTGTGTCAATAAGAAAGTACCTTTTACTGTGCCAAGACACTGAGGGTTAGAGGTTGTTTGGTAAAGCAGCTAGCAATAATTACCCTAATTAATATAGCCATAAAACACTATTGTAAAATCTATAATGTAAAAGTTTTATTGTAAAGTGTCCATACACTATAAACTACTAGGCAGCAATCTTCCCAAAAAGAACAGTTTAATTTTATGTAAAGAAGTTATGAATTATTCCTGACACATGGATTCATATCATGTAAGTGCTAAGTCATAAGCATGTATTGTAGAATAACAATATTCTTAAGGCCTCCAAAATAAATGTCCTTGCTTCACAATTAAATGTGTCTGGATTGCACATGTGGGAAGATATGTGAGCCAAATTTCCTTTGCAATATCACTTAAAATATATCTACTAACAACACATAATTGTTAATCACTTTTCAAAATTGAAATTTAGGCACCTAATTTTTTAGAAAGATAAGCAATATATTGATCATGATTTAAACTAGGAGGAAGATAGTTTTATGTGAACATATTGAAAAATCTTGCAGAAAAAGGATTATAGAAGAAAAAAGAGCACTCTATTTTGTATATTTAAATTTTATGCCATCCACCTATACTACATATGGTCTTCAAAGGTTTGTAAAAAGAACACACTATATTTTTCTCTGTTGCCACAATATTCTGAGCAGAAAAAAATATATAAAATTATTAATTCTCAAAGTTTTGAGTAGCATATCAGTGAGAGCAGTCTTTTGTATTTAGAGTGAATAAGATCAACACTGTAAACTGTTCTAAGTGCTCAACTAATCTCCAGAGCATCTGAAGCAGAAAGGTTTTGTTCACCACAGGGTATCTATTTAGAGAGAATGAAAAACTCAATTGGACCCTTAACCTTCATATTCCATAGAAACACTTCCCAATGAAAACAAAATAAGCAGGATATATGAACAAACCTGAAAGCTTTTAGAACAAGCATGTTTGGCTTTTTTAAGCCTTCTTAGCATTACACGGTGACAAAAGAAAGCACAAAGATGGCTTCCTGACAGAGTGCCCCTTCCCACAAAGGAAAATGCTTTTTTTCCAAACAAGCTTCATTCTGTTTCATAATGATAGATGTAAGAGTGCTAAGGACTAGGTCATAGCTTCTCAAAGCTGGATGTCCATTAAATTTAACCCATGGAGCTTCAAAACTTCCTATAATAGGATTATACCTCAGAATAATCATGAATGTCTCCATGGTTTATTTGAAGATCTCCCCAAATGTTTCCAACATTCAGCATGGCTAGGTTAATCCTAGTGTTTAGTTGGACAATCTCAGGTAAAGTTTGTATGCTTATGGAAGATAAGGTTGAGAAGAGGGAAGAAACTCATTTTTGAGTCTCACTGTATACTAGGCACTTTAAATATAATTATATATCCTTAAATATACTTCATGTGTGCTTAGAATAAAGCTTCAGGATGAGTGTTTTTATTCAGACTTTAAAAGATATAATAATTAAGTGGAAAATATAGGAAATAGACTATGCTCTGAGAGCTTGTGAAATACTCATTATTGACCATGGATAACTTCCAGTAATAATATTTTCTGAAAATATTTAAGCAAATATTCAAAGATTGGCTATTCAATTAATTGACATACATTGGCAAACTATAACCTATAGGCCAAATTCTGCCACTATTTTATCAATAAAGATTTATTAGATATTAGTCACACCCATATTTTCACTTTACTATAGCTCTACCCATGTAATACTGACAGTGCAGAGAACTTGTGGCACAGACCACATGCTCAAAAAAACCCCAAATATTTACTCTCTGAATTTCAATAGAAAAAAAATATACTAGCCCTTTGTTATGGTCCAAATGACTGTATATCCCTAAAATTCATCTGTTGAAATCCTAACCCCAGGGTGATGATATTGGAATATGAGGGCTTCATGAGGTCACAAAGGTAAAGTTCTCATGAATGGGATTAGTGCCCTTATTAATCACACCCTAGAGAGGCCTGTTCCATCATGTGAGAAGTCATAAAAAGGTACCATCTGTAAACCAGAGTGTGAGCCCTCAAAAGATTCCAAATCAGTCAGTGCCTTGATCTTTGTACTTCCACTAATATTAGCCCAGAGAACTATGAGAAATAAATATTTCTTGTTTAGAAACTTTCTGCTGTTTATAAAGTTATAATCATGTGTTACAGCAGCCCAAGTACACACTCTTCAACTACATGACCGCTAGCATGTCTTTAAGCTCCGAAATTCACGAAACTAAAAAGTTACTAAACCATTTCAAGTTCTTTTCCAAGAGTGAAAGAGATTATAATTTCATATCATAAAATGTTCTGATACTATGACATGTGCACATGCTGCTTATGTTTTTTTTTTCTAACCTTAAAGTGGAATGTTTGCTAAAATGCAATAAAGAAAAATGCCAGAAGGGTAGAAAAATCAACAGATAAGAGTGGTACAGCTTCTCTTTCTTGGGGATTGATCATAAAGACATAATTCCAGATTGTTGAGAGAGAGGGTGTTTCACGTAAGCAAGACCATTTTGCCAGGTTTCTGCCTTGTATGTAATGAGGCAATGCCTAATCTACCATAGATATTTTAATATGAGTTAATGACCACGTAGAATGCATCTCTTCATTGAGGAAAGAAGAGGAACAGAAATCAGCCTACCATCTGTCATTCCTTCCCTTCGGTGAGGCAGTGCTGGCTGTTGGTCCATTCGCCCTCCCTTGTGTTTTTTGGTGGGCCTGGGCCTCTGACTTTGATTCAGGGCTGCGCTCGTGTTACTGTCAGTAGAAAATGGGCTGGTGGGTCGAGGTCTTTGAGAGGAGGTAAAGGATTTTCCTAGAAAGAAAACAAAGGGAATGGGGTATAGGGAATGTCATTGTAATGCACTGATATAATGTCTGTCTTGTATTTTCTGCTCTTCCTAAGGCTAAATCTGTGAACCTACCTAGAGATGCCATTGGAAGATACCAAATATTGGTGCACCTACAAAAATAAATATATGCCCTGATACATATATTGTGTTCAATTTTTATAAGCTAAGAACACCCCACCCACAAAAATATTTCAAACAATTGAACATAAAACAAATCCACCAATCCAAAGCTTCATACTGCCTGATTAGTTTTTATATTACATTGAAAATCTTAGTGATAATTTTATAGTTATATATGCAAATTCATGAAACATTATTTCTCAAAATTCAAGAGGTTATTTCTTAAATGAATTGCACCTTGTTTCATTTACTTAATCAAATTTCACCCCTGATATTTTACAAAATCTGAGTACAGTAAAAAAATGCCTTGTAGTTTTATGTGAAAAGTCTGCTCAGGTACACATGCTAAATTGACTTTACCACTTATATGCAAACAAAATGAATTCTATCTCTTAGTGGAAACTCAATAACATCAGTGTAGAGGATAGCAGGTTAAAATCACCTTGCATATCCAAAGTGAAGTAGGTATTTTGTGATTACTGTATCTGAGCAGACTTCAAATTCTCATGGACAAATGAATTGTACTATTTCCCTTTCTTGTGGTTTAGTACAAAAGAAGTGAAATTTATTCTGGGAAAAGGTTACCTAATACATTTTCAAAAACGTCTTTTAATACTGTTTATTATAGTAAGAGAAGGATGGTTTATGTTCATATATTTATTCTCTTGTCATGTTTTCATTTCATACAAACTTACCATATGTAGTTTCATTTTCCTAAGTCAATGTGACATGATGTTGCTTAATGCTTTATTAGCTATTAGCATACATGCAAGAAATGCACCTATTCTGTATAATTTATTAGTTTCCTTGCACTTTCTCACTGTTCTACTTACAGCTAATGCCACAAAAAGCACTCAGGCAACATAGTTTTTGACTTATGCTTTATAAAGCAAGAAAATTCAAATAACAGTTATATTACAACATATTTTAGTTTGGATGCTATATGAAAATAAACCTCTGCAATGCTTGAGAAATATTTTTATTTTGCTTGAAGATATCTAATACATGCTCAAAATAAATATTGATGATATAATTCAAGATAATTTCCAAGGCTCACTTTTATAACCTGAGAGTTTAATGAAGATCAGAAGTATAACACTTTTATTTAATATTTGAACACTACAAAAATTTAAAAATGCATTTGATATTTCATTGGTTTTGTAAGAGAGCTCAGTTTAATTCATATATTACCATCCTAAATGTGAAGTTAAGAAGTACATATACAAATATTAGAGCATAATCATGTCAAAGTGTTGTTTTTTTTTTCCAGAAAAACAAATGATTACAAACTGCTAATCTATTTTTAGAATTAAGACTGCATTTCTTTCTGTGGAATGAGCAGCATGTGAAAAATGACATAATTGGTCCTTTATATTATTACTTATTACTCTCAGAAATCAATATTAAATTCTCTAAAGTACAATATACATGTAGTCATCATTTTATTCAAATTGCAAATGCAGTAGGTGTATCTTTAATTAGCATCCTTTAAAACATATAATAAATTATTGTATTAAAATCTTAGCCAAACAATAAGACCCTCAGCCATTTGAACTGTAAGACTGAAAGCCTTACACCCATTTACCCCATGCTGAGGAAGGCTTCCCAGAAACTGCATTTGTAGAAAGAGATGGGGCAAAGGAAAGTAATGAAGATAAAAGCTGAATAATTTTAATCACTAGGTTCATTATTAATGTGTGCAGATTTTGCAAAGTGTGAGTTATTGAAAATTTAATGGCAATCTGAGTTGCTGATTTGCCATAATATAAAAAGGAAGTATATTCCAATTAATCAGCAGAACCGTGAAGAGAAAGGGATATTAAGGATAGAAAGTAGTAAGTTGGAGCCTATTTTTGGCTCTGCAAAACTTGCATCAGGACAGAGTTCAGACAACAGAGCATCCCAAATGTGCATGCATATTAAGGAGAGCCCTGCAGTCAGACTTGCTGAGAAAGAAGAGGAGAAAAAAGGTCAGTGTCCCAAGGACAAGATTCTCTCATGCAAAGAGTGTTGACTTTGGAGTCTACCAACCTGTTCTTGTAAGGCTGGTTCCTTCCAGCCTAAAACCAGCTTTATCTGCTGCTGCCACCAGTGCTTGTGCAAAACTGCCGCTGGCAAATATGGAACCATCTGAGGAGCTACCTACACTAGATCTATGACTAGAAAAGTTACGATCCTCATCAGATGCAGAGCCCCATCCATTTACCATTGAACCTAAAAACAAATGTAGTTGTCTAGTGAGTTTGTATATATTGCATATCTCATGTGCTTGTAAACACTATACGAATGAGCAAGTACACTGCCTCTACTCCTCGCCACTTTGAAATTTCATCATGGATTCCTTAGCTAAACATTATCCATGTTTTAAACACACTTAGTACAAATGAAAGAAGCTTGTGTAAAATCTGTATTTGTTTGAAGCACATGTGCAAGACATGTTCCAAGTGGTTAATTTTTTACATTGTTTAAATTGTTACATGATCATTTTTCCAAACAAGAACTGCTATGTGTATTTTCTACAAGTCAGGGATGAACACTCTTATTGTTCATTATTGAAACAAATTATTGTGTATTTAAACTGATCAGTGACTTGCTTGAATAAACAGTATGGGTATAATTTGAAGTTAGTTCAGATGACAATGATAATCTGCATAAAAACTTGAATACTGGACTTGTATGGACAGTTGTATATCATAGAAGATCTGGAATTATTTCAAGATTTTAAGGTGAACAGTTAATTACTGGTTAAATAACAAAATACATCAACTAAAATGTATAAATGATATCAAATCAACTAAACATAGAACATAAGGAAAATGTTAGTTTGCAAAAGTGCTATTAATTTCAATATTTCTTATGCTTTCTTTGATTTTTAATATTTGAAGAACTCTAATTTTCTCTTTAACACTGATACTTATGAAATTAGCCTTTATGGAGACTATTATCAGCATTTCTATGGATTTTCTTTTTCAAAATGAACTATGGCAGTAGAGGAAAAA